AAGCGAGAACCACACTCACAAGATGTAGCCGACAGAGCAAAGCGGCGGACTTGCCATCGGCTGCAGAAGCGAGAACCACACTCACAAGATGGCACTTGACAGCGAGTTCTATGAAGAGAGGCCCAACTCAGGAGGAGATGCCAGCAATGTGAGCCCACGCAATAGACGGCTCTGAAAAAGGGGATACGACAATCGCCGACGGCATCGTGCGGGATCGGAGGTTCACCAAGAAGATAAAGATGAGTCCCTGAACCCCTAATCGTCGCATATCACTATGCGACGGATGGAGGATTTATGGAAAACAACGACTAACAGGAGTAGCAGAAATGCTCAACCAACCCCGGCCTCACCGAAGCAATGCCTAACGGCGGATACCGGTGAGTGTCCGAATGGGGTGGAGTAGGAAAAAAAAAAACACACACACACACACACACATACATACAGACATTTGTTGGTAATTCAATGTAGTTTCCAAATATATAAACCAAATTGTCCTACGAGGTCTGGTTCAAAATCTCGTTTTCGAGCCTATCACAGAGCTTCCTCTATGAGGAAGCAAAATTACTATTTTATTACCATTGCAAAAATTATTAGATTTTTTTCTCAAAAACTATTGAGCTCAGAGGAAAAATCGTAGATTGTTTCAGAAATATCCTCATCTTTCGTTCAATTCGTGCAATAATCTCTCATTGCTAAAAAAACCATAACTGCACGCGCTTAAAATTATACTAGGGCGGACCATTTAGTGAATCAAATGTTTCAACAAATGCTAAATAAATCATATTATAAAAACAATTCTTTTATTTATGATGTAGACGATTTTCAGACTTCAATGCTTTTATTAAAAAGGTTAGTATATTAATTTAACAATAATTGTTAAGGGAGCGCGTCAATTAGATCGACCTCTGGTAGCTCGCCGCGACATCTCGACCCTGACAGCTCGACCAAGCGACAGCTCGATCTCGAAAAAATTAATAGTATATTTCTCAACGGGTGCACATATGGTTTTTTAGCAAAACGAGGGATTATAGCACGAGCCGAAGGCGATTCCTGTAACGAGTTTTGTTAAAAAACCATATCTGCACCAATTTGAGATACTATTTTTTCCTACGAGAGCCTAAAATTAGCGGCAAAGTTGCGTATTTTAGGTTAGAGTGGGGAAAATTTTTTTTCTTTGCTATCGGTATTACTTGTGTATCGTTTCTTCGTTCGTTTATAATTATCGTTTATAATTATAACGTGTTTCAATTAATATTACATTGATGGCCTATATTAAACAGGGTGTCACAAAAGTATGAAAACCTCCGAAAAGCGGGCTAAATATGCGAAGAAATTAAATCAAAAATCTCATATCCGACGTATTTTTTGATGGGGAATTTGATGGTGACCTTGGATTTGACCTTGAAAATAACTTCAAAGCTACATCGACCCAAAAATCGATTTATTTTTTATTGCAAATTTGAAAATAGCGGAAAATTTTACGTAAAAACATGTATTTTGTTTTTTTTCAAGGTCATTTTAAGGGCGGCACAGACTCAAATAAAACCCCGATTTAACCTAAATTTAAGCTCAAGTAAGAACTTTATTTTCTAACTGCAGCGACCTCAAAATTACCTTGAACAAAAAACAAAATACAGTCGTAGCCCAAAATTACAATGACAGACGATTATAATTTTATTAAGGGATACTTATATCTAATTACATGAGTTCTATTTTTCTACTTAAACTACTTAACGTACTGCTGGCGACTCTGTGGTGTGAACGATGTCTCGCTGTATCCTAATGATTGAAGTGGATGCTCGGTGACCACTATGACCGCTCGTCTCAAATGACCGAATCCTCTGGTTGCGTAGTGTGGCCCGTACTGGCTATACTCTTACTCTCGCCACTCGCTATCACGCACAGATATCTCTGACTTTATGACAAATGCATAAGTCGATTTAACAAAGTCCTCGCACTGACGCTCGTTTGTCGAAGTTTCAATACGATTTAATACAAGTCTGATTAATATAATATCGCGGTACAAAGTGACGTGAGCTCTGCACACCGAATAAGATGATAGTCGAATCGCCTCGAGGCCTTCGCGGGCCTTCAATATGTACTCTGAGTTTCTACACGGTTTTTTGGGGGAGATGAACGATCTGCGCCCGCTCGTACGTGAGAATCGGACGACATATATTTTTATTAGCTAGCAGATTAAGTTCGTTGCTCTTCGAGTTAAATTGACAACGCCTTATCTCAGCATTGGTCTCTATCGAGATATTTAGATTTTGAATCTGCTTTATATCTTAGAGGAGGTGTTTGATTTACAGTGTATTGCAAGTATTTTCTCTCGATTTCTCCAATTTTCATAGCTTTGTTTTTCATGTCATCTGATTCCCTAGTTCGAGCCAGCGCAGTCGCTTGCTGAGCGATCTCTCACGCTTGCTGTTACGTTGAAATACTCTTTCTATAATTATATTTATTTTTCTTATTATAATTATTTATTTTTAATAAGTCACGAAAGACATGACACTAGAGCTTAATTTTAGGTTAAATCGGGGTTTTATTTGAACCTGTAACGCTCTTAAAATAACCTTGGAAAAAAAATAAAAAACATATTTTAACGTAAAATTTTCCGCTCTTTTCAAATTTGCAATAAATAATAGGGGTTTCCATTTAAAAAATCGATTTTTGGGTCACTACAGTTTTGAGGTTAAGTTCAAGGTCAAATTCAAGGTCGCCATTGGATTCCGTATCAAAAAATACGTCGGATATGAGGTTTTTGATTTATTTTCTCCGCATATTAAGCCCGCTTTTAGGAGGTTTCCATATTTTTGTGACACCCTGTATATCATGTTTTGAGTAACATTACTGCGTTGCTAATCGTTCTTTACACATTCTGATTTTTATAAATTTTTTATTGCATGTACTTAATTTTTTTTTCTTTAATGTCAACTTGTAACGAGTCTAGTTGTCAGGGTCGAGATGTCGCGTATTCGAGTTGTCCACGAGCGAATTGTTGCAGGTCGAGTTGTCATTCGAGTTGACGCGGGGGCGAAGAGTCGTAGATTGTTAATGTACAATCAATGACTTCATTAGTATTATTCGAAAACGGATTTTACCAGTAAATAAATGTCCTAAACCAATTAATAAATATCTCCGAACTAGTGAATGAATGTGGGATCTTGCAAATTTAATAATCGAATATAATGTAACCATTTATAAAATAATATCGGTTACATTGAAAAATTTACATTAAGGATGTTCCCTCAGACCAGACCGACAAATTTGGGCATATGTCTAAAAAAAATCTGAAAAAATTCATACGCGTTCCTTGACAAATTCTAAGACTTTTTGTTCTTTTAAAATTTTTCGTAGAGTTCATGCTTATTGAGATAAAAAATCGCAAAGATTTATTGCTTGAAATTGTTTAAATTTGAATCGTTTATAGCTCGTGAACAATAGATTTTAGAGAAAATTTGCAAGAGCACATTTTTGTTTAAAATGACCCTAAAAACCTTATCAAGTGGGTTTCAGGTCAAAAAGTTTAAATTTTTATTTTTGCAATGTTTTTACATCAACTTTTCTCAAAAACTGTTAGGTCAAGTTTTTCTAGTTTTTGAGCTATGTTTTAGAACATACTGAACAATCATCTCCTAGTTTTTGAAAAGATTTTATCGATGCGTTTTTTTATAATCACACAAAATAGCGTCTTTTCGACACGCTAGCATAGGGATCCCATGTTAAAGTACCGAACTTTGATTAATTATATTTCGGACATGGTTGGGTTAAATTTCCTGAAATTTCTCACAGATATGAAAAACACTGTCAATAATATGTGCTTAAAATTTCAATATCCTTTATTGATAGTCATTTTATTGAGGGAACTACCTTAAGTAGCTTACTTTTGGTAGCTCAACTTTGATGATTGTGAAAATCTTTGAAGAATTATCGATTCTTGTCGCTTAGACTCGATGAATTCATAATCTTTGCCACGAAAAAATCGCAGAATGCCTATTCTATTACTTGGTAAAGCATTGATTATGTTTTTTTTACTCAATGTGTAGATTGAATGGTTTTATGCACTACCATGTAATATAAATAGATTTACTGATAAAAAATGGTTTTAATTCAAATAAAACTGTTGATGATGAAAGTGCTGCTGCCCAAGATAACATAAATGGTTATTAAAAAACCTATTATCACAATATTCATTATTTAATTAATCTAATATACCATTCATTTACTGATGGTTTTTCATTCACTGAACAGTTGACCCTATTGAAATTTGACTGATTTTCTCGAAGATTATCAAAAAAAGTATTAAAATCTATATTCCATTCGATTTTTCGAGAAATGTTTATTAACGTACAAAGAAACATAATTAATATATGGAAAATTTAATCGATATCTTACCAATGCTTTTTGGCCAGTTGTTACTGTAAAGTCTGGGCAGAATAGAAGATCCTAAAACATCATTATATCTCAATTAATTTTTATTAACGTAACATTTTAACGAAAGTATACGTACGAAAATAGCGTTCAACAATGACTCAGCCAGTGGATTAGTTTCTTTTAAATTATTCACTGGAGTATGTGACCAAAAAAAATCTTTCCAATTCGGATGCTCCAATATATAAGGTAATATTCGAACTAGTAATCGACAACAATTTAGAGCAGTAATTTGATCATGCTGTGTTCGACAGCTAGAATCAACTGACTGAACCAATTTCTCAACTGCTTTGTGGCACAGAGTAGCCAAATTTTGTGGAACTTCATCCCTGAGTTTCCGAATTTCTGATGCTGGTATTAAAGCAAAAAAATCTTGGGCACTGCTTGTACTTTCTGACCAAAACTGATCCCAAAAAACATTTTCAGAATCACTTATAACCTAAATCAGTAATAGAACAGAAGTATTTCAATACATTATAAAATGAATAGTACATGAGTAAAAAATACACTTTGTTGTAATATTTCATCTATAAATAATATCATGATTTTCTAATGGCATTGCTTTCATTCCTACTTTTCTATCCGAAATTGTCTAAAAATGTACAATCGTATTTTGCAGTTGCTGCAAATTGCACATGAATGAATCAAACTGTATATTATAATTTTTTAATGTGGAAAAATCGATTTTCAAATGCATAATGCCAAAATAATAATTATTTAAATGTGCAACCCAAATAATATCATGCTTTGGAGTAAATATTAATAACCTGTTTATATGACTTTCTATCTATATCCACTAAAATCTATCTTTTATTTCAGATTTAGCTTTTTCACAGAACTGCCATAAAACTTTTTGAGATACATACTTTCCTAACAGATTACGAATCACACAAAGAAGACAGAAGAAGATTTTTTCTTGGTGTGCAGGTGTACTGGACCGTGTTGTCACTCTCAGGTGAAAATATAACTCTAGATCTGAAATAAGATCTCATTCCAGAGCTGATACCAGATCTGACCCTAGATCTAGAGTAAGATCTTGAGCAGGATCTTGCATATCCCTTGATAATCGACCTCAGAACTTACTTTAAGAAGCCGCGTATAAGGAGGTATGCCTGTATTAGAAAACCGTTAATATTTAACTAGAAAACGCGATCAGTTACCGAGAGAAACGCCGTGTACGTTGTAATAGTGAGTCATTTAAAGTTCGTGATATACAGAGTTGAATGTCTAAGTCAGACCACGTCGATCAATATTGCGGGTAAATTTACCCTAAGCCCTTTATTCAAGGAGTGGTGTGTGTGTATTTTTTTTTTCTACTCCACCCCATTCGGACACTCACTGGAAACCGTCGTTAAACATTACTTCGGTGGGGACTCTATAGAGCTTCTCTGCTACATCTGTGTCTTTTCCGTACATCCCCCGTCCATCTTACGGCTCGCACCGTCCCTTGACGGCTCGCACCGTCGGAAAGTCGCCAAATATGATACCCCTGACATTCGTCATCAGGTCGCCAGTGAGTATGGGGTCGAGAACGATAACATCTCGTTCTCTTCGATCACGATCTCCTGGTGGGGTATTTGGTCCGCTGCTTCTGCCGCGAGTCTGTGCGGACTCGGATTGAGCAAATGTTTGGATTCCATCACGTTCAGAGCTCTCCGTGGTTCGTACATGAATTGGCTCCGGTGGAATGAAATGACCATGCACATCAGTGGTTATACAGGTATTAACTCTGCAGGTCAAAGAGAAGGCATATGGTAGCCTTGACATCATCTCGCGCACATCTTTTGGAGAACGTGGTCTCCCACCATCTAAGACGGCACCACGAAATAAAGCTGCGTCCGAGCACTTCCATCGCTCGGGCAGATAGAGTTTTAGTGGGTATTCCCTCACCGACGCAAATCGGTTAAGGGTGAGTCCCACACACGGGAGGGTTCGGGGTTGATTTCAACTCAAACCTCCTTACGGTGCGTAACGTATTTCTCTATCTATAAAAAAAAAAAAATGATTAGGGCTTCGGAAACCAGAAACGTCGTTTTCGTCTTTTTCTTATAGCATCGTCCAGAATGTTTTTACACCTCTTGCACCTCTTGTCTCAGTCTAGTGACGACTGATTGCGCAAAAGACGCTATCGCCAGCCAATTACGTGCGGTCTCGAGCATAAGTCGAATGATGTTTTCTGGCTCGATTTCTTCTTGTAGGACTTGTTGAAGTCTCTCCCTCTCTTCGTGGAATCGCGGGCAGCGATTAGGGCAGCGACAGAGTTTACACTCTGCAACTGCCAAGACGGCTTGAATTGAACTTTTACAAAAGTTCGTTAGCTTTCGAATGGTAGCCTTGAAAAGGCTGGTAACCGAAAGGAGTTACAGAGTTTACACTCTGCAATTGACAAGACGGTTAGTTTTGATCTTTAGCAAAAGTTCGAGGTCTTTCGAGGTCCTACGAGAGGTAGTCCTGAAAAAGACCGGGGCCGAGTTGGCGTGTACAAGTTCCAAATTGTTTAGTTGGCGAGTGATGTGGATCGAGTGGTCACCGAGAACCAATGCTGTTCTGGAGTCAACTCTGCAACGGAAGGCTGGAAATCCCGTCGACCTCGTAGTCTTGGCGGTGATGACTCTGCGATGAATCTGACTTGGCCTTGCTGATCAGTTGCGGCCGGAAGGTCCAGGCTGCACTCGCTGAGCGACCGAATTCGAAAAGACCGAGGCTTGAAGTGGCCGATACTTAAGCCCTGGTGGGGATAAGTAGCTTGTGGGTGTCTGCGCTGCGCCACCTAGCGGTCACTAGTGAAGCTTCTCAGTGTAGAAGTGGAAAGGAGGCTTGGAGAGGAGCGAGAAATAATAAGATTGAGTATTATACTTCGCGCCTCTTCCTTCGGAGATCAGATGCTAGTACCCTCGATGTGACCAGCAATACCACACATTCAAAGCAAAAAAGTTGCACGCAACTGCCACTGCATTGCGCATAACGCCGTGCGAGCCTCATTCCTTTTTTGTGTGTCGGCGAAATCACACGTATAAGCAAATACGTGAGTTAAACTCCACAGTGCGAGTGATTCTACTTTACGTAGAGAAAAAGATCATCGTTTAACTTCAACTTCATGAGTTTCGCCGTAGCATCGAAGGAAAAGAAAACGGAAATCAGCAGTTGAGTCGTCACGTCGATCGACGTGTGCACACATCGTGCATAGTTCAACGTCTCAGTGTTGCAGCAGAGTTCACGTATATGAGTGTTTTTTGTGTTATGTATGTGTGTTTTTTTTTTTTTTTTTTTTATATTTATAGTGCTTGCGCCCGTTAGGGCATTGCACTTATTTTAATTTCAATATTAATTAGAAGTTACAGAAAATCTTTACAGATGTGCAAATTATAGAAACTAAAGTGTAACAATTCACTAAGCTAGGAAAAGGGAAAACGGTTAGTTCTTGTTACACTCTGATCCCACACTCGTCGAAGAAGCCGCAAATGATCTGGCAGGCCAAGATGTTCGGCCGCGCCAGCAAGCTTTCCACGTTGTACGGGGGAAACAGTTTGTTCTTAATTAGCTCCCTGATCATTTTCTTCCTCTGAGCCTCTAGTAGTCCGCAATTCCACAAGACGTGATTGAGGCTCTCCTCCTCATGGCCACACCTGCAGCGGGGGTCCGAGATTATGTTTTTCCTCTCCAAAAACTCCGCGAGACTGGTGTGGTTAGCCCTCATCCTGTTCACCCTCGTGATAGTCCGCCGGGGGAGCTTGGACTCCCTGAACCACGGCACCGCGGTCTCGCTATGTCACACGTCGAAGTAGGTCTTGCCTTTCGATTGACTGTCGGTCTTGTTTGCTGTCTCGGTGTTTTGTCTCGCTTCTTGGGCGAATTCCGCTGCCAGTTTTGACCAGAGGACATGAGACCCACGAGGGGGCTCCGACAGAGTTGCCTCCCTCGCTAGGGCGTCCGCCTCCTCGTTGCCCTCCAGGCCTATGTGTTGCGTTTCTGGACAAATGATGAGGGTAAAACAAAAAACGATGGCACCCTTTCAATTATATGAGACAATTTATTGAAGAAAACGTATTATTATGCGTGGAGAACAAAAACTTGTATCAATGTGAATTCCGTACAATGTTGCGTCGGTCGCGGCTCAAAGCAAAGAGAGCAGCGCTCGGTCGCCACCGCAGCCCCGGAATAGTCAAGCGTACAAAAATTCTGATATAGCATACTAGGCGCGAAAATGTGACTGCTGTCTAATCTTAGAATCTCGAACATCCTCCCACCTTGAGAAAATGGGAATTTTCCAACACAGATTACAAATTTAATAAGACTCAAGCTTACGAAAAATAAACGTGAATGAATAATAAGAAATTAATTATATCTATTTGGCATCTTGATTAATCTTCCACTCTTGGTTCTTCTTTCTTGAAGTGAAGTAGATTTATTCTGGACAGGCTCCTTCAACGGTGAATCTCCGAGGTCGATTTCGTCCTTCTTATGATTATCCGACTCAGCATCTTGTATCTTATCTTGCATCGAGTCATTAACCATGACAAACGGAGAGCTTTCCAGCAATATTAATCATTGTAGAGGTCGAATCAATTCGCCATTGGCCGTCCTCAATCTTGCGATTCGTGGCACACAGTCCTTACCGGGCACGATGTCGGTCACCCGAGCGAGTTGCCAATCCAGCCGTTTTTGATTGTCGCTGGCCACAAGCACAACATCTCCAGGCTTCACAGTTGCAAGATTGTGTGTCGTTTTGGAGTGCCTCGCGAGTTGGCCCAGATACTCGTCTCGGAAGCGACGTCTCAACTCTTGTCGTAGCCGTTGCCGATATCTCATGTGACGACCAAAAGATATATTTTCCAAATGGTCGAGATCAGGTGCACCTTCAAACTCTGTTCCTTTGATCAACAGCCCGGGTGAAATGGCTATTAATTGTTCGTTGTCCTTGTCTTGAGATATTGGTCGAGAGTTTACAATTGCTTCACATTCACATAGAATAGTGCTCATTTCTTCGAATGAGACGTGCGTCTTCTTGAGGGTCCTTTTTAATAAATCCTTTATGATTCTGATTAGGCGCTCCCACCATCCACCCCACCATGGTGCGGATGGGGGGTTGAATTTCCATTTGATCTGGCTCGTCGCTACAAGTGACTTAAATTTTTCCCAATTTATTTTTGCCAGCATGTTCGACGCACCAACAAAATTAGTCCCATTGTCGACGCAAATTTCTCGTGGCCGACGTCGACGTGCTATGAAACGTCTGAGTGCTTCAAAGAATCCATCAGTGCTTAATGTGGATACCAACTCTAAGTGGACAGCCCGGTATACGGCACAGGTGAAGAGACATACCCAAGCTTTTCTTCCATCCTTTAAGTATAAGGGCCCCGCATAGTCTATTCCGACGACCTCGAACATATCAGCATCACGAACGCGATGCTCCGGTAAGCACGCTGGTGGCGTCTGGAG